ATCTTAGTTTCTATGGTCACTCTAGAATTCATCATCATTCGTGTATCACCATCATCTATATCTTATATCTTAGTTTCTATGGTCACTCTAGAATTCATCATCATTCGTGTATTACCTTAGCTGCAATCTACGTAGGTTCACTTAAATAGTTTTAGTGTGATGGGACCTGCATACTACTCATACACGTATGTGATGGGACCTGCATACTACTCATACACGTATGTGATGGGACCTGCATACTACTCATACACGTATGTGATGGGACCTGCATACTACTCATACACGTATGTGATGGGACCTGCATACTACTCATACACGTATGTGATGGGACCTGCATACTACTCATACACGTATGTGATGGGACCTGCATACTACTCATACACGTATGTGATGGGACCTGCATACTACTCATAACCTCATAAATACTCCTAGCTATTGGGGTTGGGTAAGTAGACACACATACGTGGTGAAGCTTGAGTATTCCAGGACATAAACTCACTGTTGGACTTGGGTGTCCAATGCAAATAAACGGGTTGAATAATGCAAATACTTATGAAATCATAATCTCACTATTGGGTTTGAGTAAGGCAAACACATATAAACTTGATAGGATCTATCCTTTAAAACAACATAATATGACATGCACATCTATACATGATGGGACCTAAAACAACATAGTATGGCTTGCGCTTTTCTTTTAAGTAAGATTGGATGTGTGGTACTTCCCCACGCACTCGCACATGAGCCAACCATGTCGACTCATATACGTACCCTTGGGCCTAGCTTTGTGGCTTTGTCGGACTAAATGCACTAACGCGTTGGACACCACAAAGGGAAAGATCTAGAAAAGATTCGCATGATACCATGGAGAACATAAATATCGTACGTGTACTAAAATAACATGAGAATTATCTCGACACACCTACATACATAAATGTGTGAGGTCCTATGGTTTAAAATCATACAATTATGAGTTACATAATAATTAGCATGTCTTTCATCTTGCATAATCATGTAATCTAAACATGACTTCACATGGCAAGACATAGTTTTGCATATATAGCAATTCATTTTGTTCATATCCGGGTATAATAGAACATCACATACATAATATGGCATCATACATCATCATAAAACATACATAAACATAGCATAACATTAGGACGGCAGGACCAGGGGGCTTGCGTCATCATACACCAATTCTTCCTAACTTAAAAGTCACCTTACCTCCGTGTTGGCTTTTTGGCCCTTATCTCCCTGTTGGCTTTTTGGAATAACGATTACGACGACTTTTCAATTATTCAAATCAGAGCCAAAACGAAGAAATTAGAGTCGAGCCGACGTGATGGTGTGACAGCAAAATCAAAATGATGGACAAATCAAAATATATTAAGTATGACATTTATAAGGTTGGAAGAGTAACAAATGGTGACAAATCAAAATATATTAAGTATGACATTTATAATGTTGGAAGAGTAACGGTGGAGTTTTTTATTATTAGATTTATAAATAAAATTATTTTTCCAAAATATAAATTTGAGTTACTCAGATTTTTATTATTATTATATTTTAAAATTACTCACCTTTTTATTACTATTATATTATTTTATAATAAATTTTGAATTTTAATTTTAAAAATTTTCTTATTTATTTACTTTTAATCTCCTCCTTCCATTATTTCTAACCCAATCCAATGGTCAATATTAATTCTTATATTTTGCCACTTTTCTTCTCTAACTCAAAACTTCCCCATATTTTAAACATTTCCATAAATTTTCCAATCCTCGTTTGTTCAAGTCTCCATTGTTTATTTCTCATTGCTCTTTCCAGCTTACAAGTTTATTGTATTGAGGAAACAGTTGTGAGTGTCCCAAATTGTAAATCTAATCTTTGAGAGAGTTGTGGTGTGTTATTATCAAACTCAAATACTTGTATCGGTTTGATCCTACACTGTGGAAAGGATTGAGTTTGCTTTTGAACTCATAAAAAGAGCGGTGTAGCGGTTTGGCTCTGATCCGTAGAAAGAGTTGAAAAAGTTCTTTATTCAAATTATCAAGAGGTGCTTGGGGAGTGGAGTAAGTCGAGTGTAGCAGTTTGGCTCTGATCTGTAGAAAGAGTTAGAAAAAGTTATTTATTCAAATTCCCAAGAGGTGCTTGGGGAGTGGAGTAGGTCGAGTTTGACCGAACCACTAAAACTACGGTGTCATTTTCTCTAACTCTTTCCTATTTAATTTCAAAATTATTATTGTGATTTATTGCATGTTCTACTTATCACGTTTAAACACCTTTACCGTTAAAATCCTATTCACCCCCCTCCCCCCTCCCCCCTCTAGGGTTGCCATACCAATCCAATAGGCCCTATGGCTTAAGTGAGCTACTCTATGTCACATACGTGTGCCACAACGTGGGTGAGTGTGCCGAGAGAGTGTCTCGAGCGACTTCCTTTGAAATAAATTTTTTTCACGGACTGGATGGCATGAGTGTGTCAATATTGCACCCCAGCCCGCTTGTTGGAGGTTTCTACATACACCCGCTATCCGGCATGGTATACGTAATGACATGACATGGGCACGAGAAGACCAATGCCTCGATAGAACCCAGATGGATGAATGTTCGAAAAGTATCGATGAGATGAGCGACATGCGGGCTCGTTCTCGATGGCATGACCAAAGAGTTGTGATGGCCGATGAAACCTCGAGTCTAGAGATGGTGTCAAAACATGGGTCATGTCGATGGAGATCAAGATGACAAGATGAGACACGATGGTGCATTGAGAGACCTTGGCCCCGAACAAAGGCAAGGTCGAGCCAAATGACTTGGCCTAGTATAGAGACAAGTCGGTTGTGTCGTAGACGATTGAACATGCATGCATTAGACAACATGTATGGTCGAACAAGTTTGGATTCCGCACAAACAATGTTCGATTGGCGAAGACGAATCTCGATCCATGACGTCAGTTTCAAGTTCAAACTTCTGCAAAATTATTTCTCTAAATTTTACCAGAGTCAGTGTTAGACTTAACAATAGACCCTAGATCTATATGAGTAAAGTCTTATATTTAAGTTACAATATTTATATTTTCTTGTCACATCTCAATTTTTTTTTTAACATTTTATTAAATAATTTAGATTAAAAAAATTAGAGTTATACTTATATCATATAGTTTTTTAAATAAATATTTTAAAATAAATTATAAACTAAATATCTATATGAAATTAATTAAAATAATAAATCTATTATATAATTAAATCACATCAATAATTACTGTAAAAGCCATATATTAATCGAAGCCTAAAAGTGGACCGATTTTGTTTTCCCTCTTCCGTCGCTACTGATTCCTCTTAACGGACCGGATCCGCTAGGTTACTCATACTTCTCAAGATCTGCATCAAAGCAATCGCCATGGTAATTTCGATTTCTCTGCCTCTTACCCGTCTCTTGATTGTGAACACTACTCGATTAATTCAAGATACAGCATTCGAATTTTGATTCTTCATCTTCATGCCATAATTTGACCTAATTAACGGGATTTCTGTGGGTCGATGTTGGTTTTGATGAGTTTTAGGAGATAAAACTTTGTTTTACTTCCTGTTTGGATGAATTTATGTGTGTTTCTATGTTTTTTTGTTGTTGAAAATTTTCTTGTTGATTATCGTAATTTTGGGTTTTTTCTTTTAGTGAGTGCATATGAATGAAATTCAAGTTGCGTGTACTGCCTTGCATCTTTTCTCCATTTCTACGGCTTTCTGTCGGATCAGTTTCCTTTTCAATGGTTGGTTTCCTATTTAAGCGGAGAAAATTCGGCCTAGTAGTGTTTCTGACTCTAATTTGATTTATTATTGATCACATTGTTGGATATTTATTGCTTGGAAGTCTTGGTGTGGATTCTATTCTATTGCAGAAATTCAATTCTCTCATTCAAATTTGGCAAAATGAATTGCTGAATTTGCCAAGAACAAATTCTTCAATGGCAGTTAGGTTTATGGCAAACTTCCAATTAATGAATTAATTCCCTTCTGGTAGAAAATAATAATAATAAAAATACCTAACCACAGACGGTACTGGCCAAACTAAAATAGGAGGAATTCTAGTGCTGTATCACATCATTTGCCCCATAAACATCAGACAGGCCTTTGAGTTTACTTGGCCTATTTGGATTCATATGGGGCGTGGTTCTTTGTATAGTTTGAGTTACTGAATTATAAAAATATGTAATTTGTTTGGTATTTGAACCGTATCCTATAGTTTTCTATAAGTTTCAATTGGGCTTGATGTACCATCCTACGGTTTTCTCCTGAAATTTCTTAGTGTACTTGTGCTTGTTTGTAGCTTCTGCATATTTTGCATTAGTCTTACAGGGGTTTTCTTCCAACGCTTCCTCATGCAACCTAGTAATTGTCTCAGCCAATGGTCCAAGAGAAAGGATTTAGGATCCCACTCACTCGAGACTTCATGTATGGATTTAATTTTTCAGAACTCAAGGACACAGTTGTACAACAAATGTGTTCATATATGGACTTAATATTTGTGTTATTAAATCTGAATCTGTATTATTGAGCTAAGGACAAGTCCTGATGTTGGGGTATGTCTCCTAAGCATCATAATAGGTTCCCCAATGTTTTCTAACTTCGTTTAATACAAATTCTTTCTTCAACAGAGAAGGGATTCCACTATTTTTATGCACCCACTATGGCAAACCAAATTCAGGCAATTTCTGTTTTGGAGTCTCAAAACCTTCTGCTGTATTCTACCTTACTGAAATTTGACTCTAGAGCTCACCTATTGCACATATGAAAGGAAAGAAACAGAATCTTTAATGACAAGTTTAGACCTTTTGGGTGAATCCTATTCAATTTACAACTAGAGTACCTAGAGTGCTTTACAGAAAGTGTTTTTCTTTGGGTGGTATGGTAGATACACAATGATTTTTGCAATAACTCCACTTTTTTTGGTCAACTAGAGTTTTTTCTCCCTTCTTCTCTTTTTTTTTTTTTTTTTTTTTTTTTTTGGGTTAAATCTCCCCTTTCAAGTGAGGAGACTACGAGAAAGAACTCACTATGAGAGCGCATGCAGTAAAGAAGGATGCTAAATTAATCCCATTTCAATGGGATTATCTGAAACTGTCCCTTGTCTCATTGGCCTTCAAATTTTCTATGATTGGTTTTTCTTTACTGAAAGCATGTGTTTCATCAACTACTGGAAAAGATGTCAGATTTCCAGCAGGACTTCACTTATGAGTTTCCTCCAAGGAGGACGTACTATTGGAATTGAGTACAGTTGCCAAAAATTCACTGCACATGGGAAGGTTGTTGCTAACATCTTGCAGATTCTACTTAGAAGTTATGTGTACAGATCAGGATCATGGTGCTTCCACATCAGTTCGGTGTACAGACTTGTATAGCATTCAAATCTGAAATTACTATGGATTGATAGATTGGCTGTAGGTAACTCGGAAAATGACAAGCAACGTCAAATGGCTGGATAATTAATTAAATGGAAAGGTGATGACTGCATTTGTCTGCTGAATAATAATAGAAAGAACACAATTGCTATATCAACTTTAGTCCTCGTCTCAATGAATTTGGACAGTACTTACATTGACTTAGACCATACTTAAATTGACTTGATTTATGGGCATTTATCAGTCCAAATAATGAGATGTCATCAAGAGCAGAATACTTTGGTTTGATTTTGATGTTGTTATGTTCCCTTTCTTTTGATTTAGGTTCTACTGCAGCTAGACCCTTTTCTCAATGAACTTACCAGCATGTTTGAGCGCAGTACCGAGAAGGGTTCAGTGTGGGTTACTCTAAAACGATGTATGCATATCAGGTTGTTGATTAGTTTAATGAATCTTTATGACAATCTTTAGGAATCTGATTAGTTTCAAACTATATCGTATCTCTTATTGTTGTAGCGTCACTGAAGTCCAAGGTGCAGAGAAATAAAATGACCACTGCTGGTCAACCTATCGAGTACAGGTGCCTCATCCGTGCAACTGATGGGAAGAAGACAATTTCAACTTCAGTAAGTATTGACTAATCTTTTAGGCATTTTTTCCCCCCCTGAATTAAAATCTTTGCTTGGGGCGGTAAATTCTAAATTTACTCAGGATGAAAGCTGCTACCCATTGATTTGAAAGATGCTGTGTTTGGACATCGTTTCTTTTTACTTTATTTATGCTTCACTCTAAGTTTGTGTTATTACTTAATGCAATCCTGGAGTGGGGCGATTATCAAAAAGGTTCTTCTACTCAAGCACGGACACAGTTCACTTGTCAATACCAATTAACATTTAGTCTATGCCTTTTTTTATGCAATGGCATTTATTTTAAAGACACGATCAGTAATGAAGAAATAGTTTTAAAACTTGAATGGACATTCTGGCATTTAGGAAGGGAATAGACTTCATACTAATGCTCCCTCAATTTTTCTTTTACATTCAAGATCGATGTTTATGCCATCTTGCCTTAATACTGAGGAAGTAATATACGAATTCGAGCCCTTCACCCTTCTCACTTCTTTATGAATTAGTTCTTTTTGCTTGAATTTTATTTATTTCATTCCTTTTGGTAAACAGAAGCATAACCTGTTTTCTTTTTTTTTAAAAAAACATCATTCGGTATGTCGCCGTTTCACATTCTTCAAATCTTATTATCTTTATTATTGCTTAATTTTTATTCAACAGCGTTTTATTTTTGAGGTTTCTTTTAACTTTCTTGAATCTGAAGCATTTGTAACATTTTCTCTTTAACTGGCAAGGTTGGAGCTAAAGACCACCTGAGATTTCAAGCTTCCTATTCAACCATTCTTAAAGCCCACATGACTGCTCTTAAAAAGAGAGAGAGGAAGGACAGGAAGAAGGCACCAGAGGCAGAGAAGGATTCGAAGAAGAAACCAAGGAAAGTATGAGGGGAGGTTCTCTTGCTTTTGTAGGTTTCTCAAACTAGGGTAACTTTCTTTTCTTGGTTACGCTTTTGATTTCAAAATGACTTCTATCCTTTGACCTGAGTGTTATGCTTCCCCCTTATTTCTAGGAAAATGCAGAGGAAAGAAGGGGGGGAGGTAGAATTTTTGGAATTTCAGGAATTGAAAAACACTTGATTCTGTCATTTGTTTAGCCATTTTTTTTTCTTAGAAAATATTTGAAATATACATGTGCTTTTGCTGTGGAATTGTCTGGAAGTTGTGCATCTCTCGTCCTTGAAGTTATACCTTGCTTAGACAGTGTAATTGCGAGGTTGAAACTGTTTGTGATTCACTTGGGAACGTTATATTGTCCATTTTTTTTTTTTTTTTTAGAGACAATTTCATTGTTTACAAAATACCTTCCCAATTTGCAACGAAGGATGTATAACTATAGGAAGTAAAAATATTAGACAGTTTACACCAAGATATATCTTGGTAAACAACGTTATCGAAAAGTTTTGTGTATGTTTGTGTCGTTTCTGTAAATATTCCTGATTTCTTTCTTTCCACAGATTCCAAAAGAAAGTCATGATGAGGTTTTTCCATATGAGCATAAACTCTCATAATTTTGCTTTTGGCTTGTCGAAAAGGTCTCATCCGAATGATGTATTCCTTATAAACCCATGACTAACCCTTTAATTAGTCGATATGAGACTTCTCTTCCAACAATCCTTCTCTCGAACAAAGTATACCATAGAGTCCTCAAACAGTCTCTCCTTATTCAAGGTTCGACTCCTTTGGAGCCCTCGAACAAAGTACACAATTTGTTCGACACTTGAGTTACTTTTGACTACACTTTCGAGGGTCTCAACTTCTTTGTTCGACATTTGGGAATTCTATTGACATGACTAAGTAAGGGTATGATTTTGATACTATGTTAAGAATCACGGCTCTCCACAATGGTATGATATTGTCTACTTTGAGTATAAATTCTCATGACTTTGCTTTTGGCTTCCCGAAAGACCTAAAGACCTCATGAAGATGTATTCCTTATTTGTAAATCCATGAGCAACCTGTTATTTAGCCGATGTTGGACTCTTCCAACAATTCTCAACACCAACACCAGCGGGAGGAAACTCCAGCTGCTGCTATACATCCAACGTTCTTCTTGAACGATAATGAATTACTTTTTGGTACATTCATGCCGAACATAGACTTCCCAACCCTTGCTACAGAAAGTTTTGTGAAGGTTTTGGATTACTTAAGAGGCGTAATATTATTATATTAATTGCCCGAAAGATAAATGTGTTCGAATCATACTCGAGCATTTCCTCCCCGGATATTTTGTAGGTTGAATTTAGTTTTACTACCAAAATATTTTGTTTTGGTCTCGTAAGAATGATGACTGACCATATTTTTTCTTAACTTGTAAGTGCTTAGTCCCATTCATATGAACAGGATGAATAATTTTGGAGTGATTTTAAAATGGCCATAGCCGTTAATCATGAGATACATGATTAGGCATAATTGAAGATATTTTTTTCTCTAACACAATTTTTTACACAAATAGCGCCAATATATTGGTTTATATACTCTCCTAAAATATATATATAAACGAGAAATTTTCTAAAAATATGATCTTCCAATTTTTAACGCTAATGGATACCTGCCCTTTCATAACGCTAATGGATACCTGCTGAAAAGGTGTATGACACAACAAAAACTTCACAACAAAAACTTTACAACTATGTCATTCTTGGCAACAATGATCGTCGTCGACGAGAACTTTTGAGGGTGTGAAATTACCATGTTGTTCTTTTCATCTAATGAAACGTTTTAATTTCATCTAATAATATGAACTTAGATTTAATGCATAGACGACAAACTTAAGATTGAAAATGGCCCAACGTCTCCACGATGCACACAAGAGGGTTTCTAAATGCCACGAATACCTAAAACCACGTTTAGAAGGAAGACGACCATAATCAAAGTAGAAAATAACAATGTAAAGCTAAGTATTTCAAAATAACAATACTAGAAGTAAAGAGTGACCCTAATCAACTCTAGTTAGAGATTTTTGCATTCATTCTCTTCTTGCGATGTTTCACACTTTGAAACCGGATGCAAATACTAGTCAACAAATACGCTCGACAATTTAGTATTTTACTGAATTCAACCATGTCGGTTTACTTTTCTGGTTTCTTATCAACTTCGGCCAAAGTTTGAATTGAATCAAATCGAATCATTACACCGTTATCACAGGTCTAACTCCACACATGTTTAAAATGATCGTCGTGACTAAATTTCACGTTTTCTTACTAATCTACTTACAAGCACCCAGAAAGATTTTGAGATCAGATAACCAAGAACAGTTTAAAGAGTGGTGAAAAAGTGACCAAGCAGATCCATGTTCTGTACTGTATATCATTACACCAAGAACCCATAACATATCTAATTTAGCATTTCAGAAAACAAAGTTGTAAGCAAAAAACCAAAAGGTTGGTTTAAAAGCAAATGGAATCAGAATTGTTCATCATCAGAATTTGACTCCTCATATTCCTCATCGTCATATGATGATGATGAGGAGGAGGAGGATGATGATGATGCAGCAGGACTCTCTTGCTGACGCTGAGATTCTAAATATTCCATTATGGCGTACCTGTACTTATCAGGATGATCCCACCATGTTGGGGTGTTCAGAATAGCTTTCTCCAGCCAATATTCATCAGGTTTCTGCTTCTTTCGAGTGCGTCTTTTGTAAAACTTTCCCCAACTGTACATTGCGCTCTTCAAGCGGGCACTCCGGTCTGCTCCAAAGAGGTATTTGATGTAATCCTTCGCTAATAGAACCAGCTCTTGCCCTTCAATGATGTAAATGTACTGCCCAAACAAACATTCAAACAGTAAAACATAAGTGAAGCTTTGTAACTTAACTTGTAAGTACACAACCCACAATTCAAATGTTCCTAAGATTTCCCCACAACTAAGATATTACTAATGTATCCAAAGCAACATGATTTTCCTCGAGAATACTTTGGCTTCATCAACGGGCCCGAAGTCTAGCCTAGGCTTGATCCAAGCTCAACCCAAATCCAAGGTTTGAGCCATGAACTTGCTGTTTAAGGTTGAGTCTAGCCCATTCCGGGGCAAACAGTGCATTAGGCCTATTGGACGTGGACTTGGGCTGAGCTTGAACCTTCAATTTTTAGTGTCGAGCTGGCCGAATGATGAGGGTGAAGAATATAACCCTGCATCCACGGAAAGCTACAACACTCGAGCCAAGTCTAAAAAGGCCAATAGTTTGTTGTACAAAATCTTTTTCCTTTAAGAGCTATGGAAGAAGATATAGCAATTTCTCTAGCTTGACTAAGAAAAGAGGACAAAAAAACAGCTGGGAGACAAATAGGCATGAGGAAGAGGGAGAGGGGGGGCTACGAGCCCTCTCCCGTTGCTGTTCCCGGATCACCCATCCAGCGATTACTAATCTAGTATACATATAGTATGCCTCCTTCGTTGAAGTTGTAGGTACACATCTAGAGCTTAGCTAAAAAAGTGATTATTACCACTAAAACAAGGCCAATGGTCGCCAGAACTACATGCATTGTTTCTTCCAGAATTCCTAAAATGTTATGATCCTCAGATTCACTGGAGCTATCCCCGCCACTGCTGCCACCGCCACCACCTGGAGGTGTTCTTCCACCATCTCCACCATCATAGAAGTCTTTGTTTTCAATTTGCTGTCGCAATATATCTTCTACTGATCGTCCCTTCTTAAAATTTTCAACAACTTTGTCAAAAGCTTTCCATGGAGAACCCTGCTAGAAACAAGGTACCATTACTATCTAGATTTGCAGATACCTCTTAAATAAATAGCATCTTATCAAACTCCAAAGTTGAGATTTACTCATTTGAAATTTCAAACCAGGATAGGGGTATGCACAAATAATAATGGAAAAAAAAGAAAAAACACTCCAAATCCTCCATCCACAATGTATAAGACGTTCTACCTTGCTTACAAAACTAGCTGCAATTCTGACACTCGTTTTTTTTTTTTTTTCGATATCACAAAAATCAAGAGCATAAAATCAGAAAAGTATGATCAGACATGAAAAGTTAATCCACTGACATTGGTGGATACTAAAACACTTGTCAGTAACAAAACAGAAATTACAATGATAAGCTGAATTCCAGTCATTTCTGTTTCGTTACTGACAAGTGTACTCCTAAACCATCAACCATTGCTTCATGGAAGACAAAATGACACACAAGATTTGCAAGAAGCACATATTCTACGATCTAGTTAGAGACAATTTTTGTTCCACTAGTTAGAGAAGAGAGCTAGACAAAGTATTACCGGCAGAAAAAAGCATCAAAGAACAGAATTTACAAGTAGTAAAAGAAAAAATTGAAAAATAGACAGCAATGACAACAAAGTAAGAGATGTTCTCACCCCATCACCATTGTCCTTTCCCTTGCTACCAAACAAGGAAGCAATTGGGGTATACCGATGTTTTAATCCAACCCTCCGATGATCATACTTCAATACTGGTAGACCTTTCTTTAAATAAGATGTATTGGCACTTGGATTCACAAACGCACTTCGTGTCTGACTAGCAAGGAATGATGGATAACTTGACTTAGAAACAAGACATAATGATTTATTGGGACAGAGAGAATTCTGTGTCGCAGTTATCTGCATCATGCTACACATCCTTTGATAAACACCTCAATTGATCATATGCCACACTCCAACACCCTGACATCAAAGCTCCAACATCATGTAAGAAGCATAAAAATCTCAATGTTTGTTCAATCATTAATCTACCCAATTCATATCTAAACCTTAATTACCCTTCTCTTCAATCCATCCACCATACAATTTCCTACACTGGCCGCGCAAACCTCTCAATATGAAATATAAAGCTTTATTCCAACAGATTTGTACTAATATTACACAAAAAGAACGACGAATTCTGAGTTATGCCCTCTTATCCTCTCCCATAAACATTCCAGCATACATTTTTCTACACTAGCTGCGTACATAAACTAAGCGCGCAAACCTCTCAATATGAAATCTACAGCTTTTTTCCTGCAAAAATGTACTTATATTACACAAAAAGAGGGAAGAATTCTGTGTCATGTCTTCTAATCCTCTCCCATAAGACATTCCAGCATACATTTTCCTACACTATCCGCGTACAGAAACTAAGAAGAAAAGGGCGCGGCGCAAACCCCTGAATATGAAATCTAAAGCTTTTCTCCAACA